CTGTATGTTCCGGACTACAAGTTCCTCTAGACTCCAGCAACTTCCAGGAGTGTCCACCACTTACTAGCATGCAAAATGTGATATCAGAAAGGCACCCATATCTATGATCAGTATACCACCACTCACTGACGCCCCTAGCCATTAGCCCATCTTCTGTGGCCTCCTCACCCACTTCCTGAATTGGAGTTATCGAAGAGTTCCAGTAACCGTCCGCGATAGCATCTTAACCCCCTTTTTTTCACCAGCGTGCTGTAATGCACAGTAATGCCAGCTCTTCCAATACTTGCCAGCTAACGAGCCATGAGCTATAAGACCTATCTATGAAGTCACGCCTCAGCCACGATTTCGGAGACGTCTGCACGTCGTATAAGTTCGATGGCCGATTACACACTTAGCCAAAACAATAAATGTGCACCAGTTCGCTAATGCGTATCACTCATTCAACAATGGGTACACCCGTTGTCATCACCGCAAACCACCATTCTCTCCTATCTCCGCCTGAATGTTGGGTATCCTTTTAGAAATCGGGTGGGGTCGCCTCTATTTCGGGCAGCAGTTTGGCTTACACGATTGTGCTCTCTAGAGGACCTTTTTGATAATTTTCCATTTCGCGACCACAATCCAGATACGGCTGTCTTAATGCTTCGTCTCAATAACGGTAATGAACCACATTGCGCTTTCGATGGACCTGAAAATATCCTTATTTGATGCTGACCTCAATCTGCCACGAATGTTTGACCAATCCTAGCTACCCTAACAAACCCACACCCATGATGTCCATACACGAGGCTTCCCACGGACCCAAATCAGACACCGCGATGGCAGCTATTAAGTTCGTCCCAAGAGACCATTTAAGTCCTCTGGGTTTGCTCCAGAACTCAAAAGTATTGTCTCCCCCTGCTGTATATAAATTTACTAGGTCCGTCTATGGCGCTGTCAAGTAGTCAGCATACCGGTGAAGGTGAAACCTTGCCATGCACCCGACACAGCATGTAGTGACCATGGCTGCAACGAATTCTTTGGCTGTCTGAATGCACGACTGCTGCAACGACAGAAGTCTTTCTACCAGGGTCGCGGTTGGCTGTTTTAGTTTTGGCTTTCGCGGGCAAAATATTTCCAAACCTAATATAGGGGTAAAGAAACCACGTTCTTCAGAAAAATCCCAAGTTTTCAAGGACTGGTCACACTGAGCAATGGTAGCCAACTAAAATTTGAAATATGCATCCCAAGCTGGTTTTGGGTATGTTAAAGCAAACTTCAACAAAACTACCGTTGCCTGATTAGATTTTCGGGTTTCAAATAAATGCTATCAAATGCTAAAGTTCTAAGCGGAAGTTTCCCCCTTCCAGACCAAGGTACCAGAGAAACGTGGGGTGTGCGTCTAGGGATCGGTTGTGGGATGATGTTCTTCATTCGAAATTCCGGTTACGCCTCATAGAATTGCACCCTCCGAATACCACCGAACTAGGTTGTTCAGCAGAGTCACCATGGCACTTGGATTATTTTAGACGCCAACGATGATTCAGGATCTTGTGCACAACGCGTAGCATTTAAATTATCTGTAAAGGGAACATTCTTGGGACCTGTAAGCCAACGGAATTGAATTTTTGAAAGCCATAACTTCCCTGTTAGACTAAGAGACAGGCAATTGAGCTCAAAAACGAGGCCAATCTTTTTAGCCCCATCTAGGCATCTTTGGGTATCAGCGATGCCAAGAAAATACTCCACCAATCTTTTCCACCAGAGGTATGATTGCTTTCTTTGGCAATGGAATTCGGTGAGCCGAAAAAATATGGACGTGGATAAGAGTGGTTTTGGTTTGAGCACAAACGCAACAGAATGCAACATTTTGGCTCAAGCATTTTATTTCACCCGCTGAGGTTTTGCAGCTAAGGGTTAATGTGCCCCATTATGACAGCCTGCCTAAAAATGGCTACTGAAAAATGACTGCGTTGGGTCCATAATTTCGACCAATCATCGCTCAGTGCTAGACCTGAAGGCCAACTACCCGAAAGTGTCCGCTCGTCTGTGTATATTGGCGGTTGCAGCATTCGACTGCTCATCTCCAAGCTAGCTCTAATGTAGCTCTCTGACTAACGTTTTGTGTTACGAATATCACTATTACCACAACTTTTTGATTCTTCAATTTTTTGACCTATGAGGAGTTCATGAAAGGCTCCGTAGGATTTTAATAATAAATAGAACCTTAATTTGGTTTAAATGCACTGCAACAGCGTTTTTCAGTGTTTGTCCCAGTCGCTCTCCGTCTTTGCGTAAGGTGTAACACTTTTTTCATGTATAATCCCTGGCGATGGGCGTGTTGTTGACGCAAATCAGTGATACCTAAAGCGCCATCCAGCGACTATGTATAACTATACAGTCGAAAATGAGGTATTTATCATGCGGGTCCGATTTTTATGTGACGAGCTATAGTTCGTTATGATTATGACGATAAATTGTTTCCGAGGTTGTGGTATTAGCATCAGCCCCACGTACGTATGATCGGTGCACAGAAACCTCTGACCTGGTCTAACGAACACAGTTCCTTGGTCCTTCCGGTTTATAGTTCGAACAGACACGGCGAATTTTCCAGTGTGGCTTAGGCTTTGGTTGAGGGCTCTAAACATCCTTGTAGGTGTGGGCGCCACGGCAATACCACAGCCTGCGTGAAACCAATAACGTCAGAACTTAAAGTATTGCCATGTCATATCTGCCGTCACTTGACTTTATCACCACGAACTGACCGCTTTGTTCGCAGTGCATCACACTCAGCTACAGCTTCTGCGCCTCCATCTCTACTAACAACACTAATCACCTTGAACTTGACTTCCAAACCCAAAAACCGGTCTACTTAGCTATCTCCAATTTTCGCACACTGAGGCAAGCAATAAAACCGGTGGCTCCTGCCCGTACGCTGGATTGCATCTGCGGTGATGCTGTCTGTGGGAAACAAGCACCCAGAATGCAAGTACTGTAATTGTCCTGACTGCCCCCTCGCTTTCTTCTGGCTTCTAGGCTGTACAGCTCTGGTGACGCGTAAGCCGCTGAAGCCGGATGTGCCGGTGTGGGTCTTGTTTTGAGTCATCGATCGGAGACGTCTCTACTTGATTGGATACCCGTTACTACTCACCTGTGCGTTGTTTTTTGGCAAAGTATGTAAATGAACGTTGCTAAAGTGAGGCCCATCGCTTCCCGTGTGTTTCGTCTGTTTACACCGCTTACTTTAGCTCAATCTGACAATGACAGTTTCTATAACGCTCTGAATGATCTTTTACAAGCGCCCAAATTGCATATGTCGTTGTGATTGTTAGTGATAGGAGCGCTAATGTAGGTAGGCTTAGTACTGGTGAGGCCTTATTGGATGGTCGTCTTAGGCCGGAAACTAGACGACTACTGTATATGTATGCCAATCCGTGAGTGTCAAGTGGGATTTCGACCGAAGACAGGCTGCGTTGACCATATCTTCACACTTCTTTAGGTGTTGGAACAATTAATATGTACACAACCCACAATCTTGGTGTTCCTTGAATTCAAGGGTTCGTTCGATTCTGTCCACCGGCCAGTGATCCTAAATACATTTGTGCTACACGAAATGCCCCGGAATGTCCTAAACTTAATCTTGTTCTTATCTTCGCGTGGTTCTGGGTTTGTGATAATATACTTTCAGCTGTCTTAACTGGCGTCAGGCAAGGACTTATGTTATTGGTTTCTGTTTAATGTCGCAATCAATAAACTACCAAGGTGAACCCTCGAAGGCCTTCAAAAACCCAGTTTTAAATGGTTGTTGATGAGAAACTTGTCCATCTGAAGTATGCAGGCGACATGGTCTTCGCCCTTGAAGACGAAGATCAAGCACAAGCTCTGTTGAATGAACTAACCACCATCATACCATTATCCGGTATGTGCCTTGAACTTCCAAAGTGCAGAGTCATGCTTCAGAACGTGCAGATTCTGAACACACCCCTTACGGTTAGGAGTATCAGTGGAGGTTGTCAATTTTGGGTCTGACATAAGTGTGGCTGATGAAGTAAATGCACGAATATCTGAGGGCCGAATCACATTTGCTAATTTAGGCATCAAAACGGCATATCACTAGGTGTCCAGGGTATTGTGTATCAGACTACAGCAGGGGGCGTACTTCCGTATAGTTGAAGAAAATCTCCAATGCAGTCAGATGATATGAGGTGTTTTTCAGGTTTTGACCAGCGATATCGAGTGATGTGAAGTAATTCCTAATGAGGTTATTAGAAACGGGGTATTTGAGTGTGCGACAGGTACTTCAGTACAAGAAAACATCTAGCGTCATCAACTGTGGTGGCTTCGCCAAGTGTCACACAAGCCAAAACATTATAAGCAGAGATGCTTTCTTCTGGGTGCCGCAAACTCGAGGTGAAAACATGATTTGGCAGATGAGTGTAAACGAGATTGCAAAGCGTTCAAGTGTTGTTTGTGCGGCCCATCCCTCAGGATGAGGTCTCAGTGACCCACCTGCGTTTGGCTGGTAGCATTATGAAGAATGGCGGTCAGTCAATGTTAATCGTGTTCATGTTGTCGGTTTCTGATGTGTCTGATGCAGCACTTGGATATGTGAACACAGAATGCTTGTGGTAGTCCCGAGCAGTTCCATTTCGTATTCTGTCTCACATTTTTTTCGCCTAAGGTTTTAAATATAATGAACTAAACTTTGTTGCTATACGATAGTGCATCGCTAGTGTCAACACCGATGTTGCTGACTCTTGTGATAGTGAATCATAATGGGTACCTGTGGTACAGTGCACATAGTATACGGTAATGTTGTTGGTCGTCTTACTGCGATGAGACAGTTAAGAATCACCCGAAGGGCTATCCTGGAGGGGACAAGTACTGCCTACCCATTCATTAATGAAAATTTATGCTTCTGTTCCCCTTAAACAACAGCCTGTAACTTTCAGGTACGCTGGCTAGGTGAAACAATGTACTTCTTTAATTGGCATACGTGAGAAACCCTTATTGCACACCACATGGCTGAATTTCAAAAGGAGCACGTACGAGCTGTTTCACGGAACTTTGTGGAGTTGCTTCAACATGACCAGTTTCTTGATGTTACTGTCACTCTTCATGGCTTTGAACTGAAATCTAATCGTTTGTTACTGTCGGCATCAAGTGGCTACTTCCGAAGTTTATTTGATTTTTATGAGAACCAGTCCTCTGGAACGGCACACTATGACATTTCATCAGAGTACTTGACGGTGAAAGGGTTCCAGTTCATCATCCGTTTTCTGCATTCTCTTGGACAAGATTGGGAGGTGATTCCAGCTGAAGATTACGAACTCATATATGCGGCCGCAAGTTTCCTTCAAGTACATTCCTTGCAGTGCCTACTGAGCGATTTGATTGTTCATAGTCTTACGCCATCTTCTGTGTTAGGTAAACTATGCTAACATTGCAATCATGCCTTGGTAATAACTTTACAGATGCGCTCCGCCTTGCAAGTGTTTTTGATGATCGCCATTTGCATACGCAATCAATGATGCTTCTATTAAACAAATTCCACTTAATTGATGTGTTCTCGGAGGAATTTCTCCAGCTCTCAGAGGACCGAATCCGGGCCATCTTTTTGAGTGACCAGGTCAATGTCCCATCGGAAAGTTTTATGGTTGAGGCGTTGCTCTCCTGGGTCTCTTTCGACGTGGAGGAACGGATGGATTTTTTTCGACAGATGTTCACTCGACTTATTCGTTTATCACTTGTGAGTCCTAGTACTGTTCCACCTTGTTTTAAATGCCAGTCTGTCTTCGCGCATGTTGCGTCTGTATTTTCTTAAGCGACCCGAAACGGGGCGCCGGTTAGACAAGGATCATATACGTACCGTGTCTGCATTAACCCGACATGCATGCTGCGGGTACTGTGTGACCTACCATCGAGTGGCAAGGAAATGAGTTATCAGTGCATGTCTCCATTTACCGATGGATGCTCCCGTGCATCGATGGCAAGCCAACACCTGGCCGACTTTGGCCCGCTCCTGTGTAGTACATTACCGAGCAAAGTGATGAATGTCTGCGTGGGAGAATGGAATAACATCGCCTAACTTCTTGTTGCTGTTGTCTTGAGAAGTCGCACGGAAAGTCTCTACTCGGCCTGCATCTGTTGGTTTGTTGTCGTTTTTCAGCGAGCGATCCGTGTTCTCGAGTTGTGGTGTTGATGAAGGTGATTTCTTTGTAGGCTAACACTTTTGAGTTCCTACCATGTAGACTCAGTCATCTGAAACAGTGTTGTCTGATATTCTTCCGCTTCCTTGATCAAACATTCAGCTAACTGCAGTTACATACTATGCAACGGTCACCTTAGCTGGAAAGATGAAATTAACTGGGAACTAGATTGAATTTAAAGTAATACTGCTGTGGTTGTGGTCGCCTTCATGTAGCATCCTGCTGGATTTCAAGTTTATCACCTTCATATTCTCATCACTGGTTCGGGTGTGAAAATACAGAGGCAAACATAGGAACTTGTTTATTCTTTACTGTTTGAGGAATATGTGGATGACCATTTCCTATTTTCAACTGTGAATTAGACAGTTTAGACGAGGTGGGAGTATCTGTACTTCCGTCGGGAACTAATGTGGGTCCTGTGAGTAGTTGAGCACAGAGTGTCCGCCGCATCCTCCCTACTTTCGGGTTACGGATGGTTGCTGAACAGTTAGTCCAACTTGAACTGATGGAAACGTCCGTGCTCTTTGGTAAATCCAATTTTTCCCCGAGAAAGTAAGCTGATAAATCGTCACACTCTGGACAGACTAGCGGAGTTACTTTGCCTGAGTATAAGAGACTAGGTTGGCCAAAAGGCTGCTCAGTCATTCGCAGCTATTTCAACTCCGATTACTTTACATGGAAATCTTATCCTCATGAGCTCCAGCATAGTTGTAGTTTTCAACAAGGACGGACACAAATGAGCATTTATTCTCCCTATCTTTACACGGTTGAATATTGATAATTCTTCTGCTTATTGACTGAAACTTTGTGATGTATTTGAAGTTGCTGGTGGTGACTGGTACTCAGAAATTTATATTTCGGCGGGAGAATAGTGATGGTGAGTGAATGAGTGTATGATCTTTTTCGAAGTTGCTCCTTGGTCTTTTCTGAACGACCCCTCTATCCTAGACTTTGTTTGTGACTCTTCTGAAAGACCACTTCCCTGGGCTTACCGCTTTCTGATTCACTAGTTTAGCTGTCACACCTATTTTTCTTTCAGGTCAAGGCTGCAGATCTTAAAGCCATTGCCACAGATACTCGTTTTGCCAAGGCAAGCGGGGCTATCGACCTACTGCTTCAGGCCTATCGATCATTGTCTGGTATTCCGACCACTCCAGAACTGGATGTGACACTGGCGACAACCGGACTTCAAACAACTTCAGCTCGAATTGGTACTGCTTTCAGGATCTATGCTATAGGAGGCTTGGAGGATTTAGGTGTACAGGTACGTTTTGTCATTTTACGTACTTTTCAGTCGCACGCACAAGTTGTCTTGGACTGGTTTTTATTAATTTTCTTTATTTTGCAGGTTGCTCTTTCTGTTGATGAATACCGGACGCCACCGTTCTACAGCTTCGACACCGCTTTGCTGCAGTCCAAACCTCACGTTAACCCGGGAGAACCCTGTCGTGTTTACCATGCAGTGGCGTCATCACTGAGTTGGATTTATATTACGGGTGGGGAGTCGGAGGATGGGGAAATTATAGATCAGTAAGTCTGGACCACAAAACTTTACCAGTCCCAAAATCCTTACTTTTTTCTACCGTCGCTTGAGGCCAGTGAGGGTAAGATGCGATCCTCGGTTTCCGTACACTTCTGTGTCATATTGTTGCTCCGGTTTTGGCTTCCATGTGATGCTTCCCAGGTGTTGCATGGTTAGTGAGTATCCGAAATCTGTCTTCCTATTGGACTACGAATGGTCCTGTTTCAGTCGTTTTCGAACTACATGTCACCAAACTTTTTCGAAAACGATGACTACTCAATCGCTTCCAAGTATTTTTCACGTGTATGGCTAGTAGTTTTGTAAGTAGTATAATTTTCGACAAAGTTTCGCCAAGATCGTCGTTGAGTCATACCCTTTTGGTATTTTTGGAATGATTTTTAACTAAGTTTTCGACTTATATATATATTCATATATATTCCATATATTCCTTAAGCGACTCTTCTTTGGTTTTAATCATTGAACTGGTTCTTAAGGTCAGTCATCATTATGTGGGTGCTCTTGCAAATTGCTCGACCCTATATGACCCTATATGAGTTATGACACACAACATATTCAACATGTTGACCTAACCAAACGTTTAATTAATTTTCCATCTACAGTCCTCGCAAATGCGGCTACTTTGAGTTCTTCAGTAGGGTGAAGAAACGGCAAACAGTCTGAGCAGAGCCACTCACTGTAAGGTACGCATCGTCGGATAAATCTGCCAAGGAGCTTTTAAATAATACGCAGTGCGGAGAGCTATTTAGGGAAACCGAAAAGACAAATAGCCAAAAAGTCCTTCATTTTATCGTGAAGCATCATCATCATTGCCAGCTGTAATAACCGCGTACTTATTGTACAGTGATTGTAGCTGCCACAGTTTCGTTCACCGATGATTCGGGGAGGTGGGGTAGGTAGCTGCGCATTGGAAGCGGGAACTGATAAATTAGTGTATAAATACAGGTATCTGAATTAGATTACTGGTATTGAGAGTTGTGGAAGTTTCAAGCGCTTTTGACATGTTCGAGTCGACAGTCAACATCAAACCGGCCACGCCAGTTCATTTTTTGGTTCTGTGTAGGGACACTTCGCATGTTTTTGCATTTGTTTAACTCAATCTAAACGACTCACGAGGGTAACCGGCACATTTTACAAGGCATTACCATAGTAGAACATACAATATGATGTTGTTGGTGTCAATCTCCTCGTGGTCAGTCGTATGAGCGTAGCAGAGTGTGTGTGGGAAGCTCAGACATCTAAAACTGTGTTTCTAAGGTCCCAAAAGAAAATGGGTTACTGATGCCTTAGGCAACATAATGAGCAACGTCTATCCTAAAGTGAAGCGTTGAGTCTTTGTTGTTCTGAAGCAAATTAGTCTGCCCAAAGCGGATTTATGGGTGAAACACAAACGTCCCTCTGTTTGACGATTCCTATCTCAAACAGATTCGCAGTAGTTTCATTTTCACATGTTGGATTCATCTGTCAGCTCCGTAGGATATTGTCAGGTTTCAAGTTGATGGGTAAGAAATTCACAAGATTCCAGTTGTCACATCCTGGAAGAACAGTTTGCTCCTCAGCTTTCACTAGGAAACAAAACCGGTCGTGAGAAAATAATCAGTGCCAAAAAGTTGATTTTATACAGAAAACGGTCGATACCTGTTGTGTCTTGATGGACGGTAGTGCAACGCTGTATCGGTCCCTTGGCTTCCTGCTCCACCCACTATGGTATATCAAAGGGCACGGCAGCTCTACACAGCCCTTTATGGAGACAAAGGAAAATTATTACAACTGTACTTATAAGGTAGTCACAGAGTGTTCCACAAGGTCGTGCCAGAATCTCCGTGAAGGGTCCACAAGGTCGGGCCAGAATCTCCGTGAAGGGGCGGGAAGCGTCGAGTCACAGGAGCTTGACTCGGATTGGTTGGCATTCTGACCAATCGGGACATGCCTTCGTTTGGCCCGTGTCCTGCGCGTGACACATCCGTCCAAATGATGTGATGTTCGGTTATTAGGGACGGCTGGCCTCCGAACAATACGCTAGGTGGTCTCACGTGGGATGACGACATAAACAGTTATCACATCTGAAAAGTACGGCCACATTCGGCTCTTTATCACCATGCCATTGTTGGAACCTTCAAGTATCAGAATTCGCCCCTGTTGCATAACGGAACTGTGACGCACACAGTGCGAAGGCCGTTACCATATTCACAGAACATTTAAACCAGGTGAAACCTTGCTGAATTGTTAACTGAGCTTGTGTTGCATGCATGTCTGACGTACGTCGCATGTACTTTGTAGCATCCCACTTAGTGGGTGTGGTCGATAGACAGTACAGTTTAATTTCTCATTTACGAATCAGGTATCACGTTTACACTGGTTCCAACTGCTGCAGTTTCGGTCACCGAAAACTGGGAACTGATAGATATGGTCAGACATTTGGGGCAATCGTATGATCGCTCGAACCATTCCGTTTGTCTTTATAAACGGAAATTAGGTAGTTACGCATTGAAAGAAATTGTTTTGATGCAGGAGTGCAACTGACCATATGCTTGGGCCTTATCTGGCAACGTCATAAAATATTGATGAATAGAGTCCATAAGTCTCCATTCAGGGAGGTGACAGTTATCAACTCGACTGAGTGTACTAGTTGGTGCTTCCATACCTTATCGACTGCCTGCTCTTCTATCTTTTCTATTCACCACAGCGCTGGACAAAAGTGCCCTGCAAGGTAGACGGTCTTCTGACTTGTGAAATACTTCTCTTAGTCGGCATAGTTAACGCGTCCATCACGAGATAGTTCCTGTTAAAACCGTCTGGCATATCTCGACACTACCAATATAACGGTCCTATCAGACTTGCCCAATGTCTTGAAAAACGAGGCTTTTCTTATATCCACCACTGTTAGCCCCAAAATATAACCATCCTACTGATAAGGCCGAACTCGGAAATAAATCATATATTTCATAGTGATCTCTTTTCCACAAAAGCTGGCTTTTTTAGATCCTAAGTACGATGAAGTTGTCAAGTGAAGCTGGAGGAATTTCGCACTTCTTTCCTTTGAGTGAGTTGACCAAGACGGTGATACCAAACAGTGGCTTTGATGCCGTTTGCTACGAAGTCCATAATGAATGATTTGCCAATAGAGCCATCCCATGATGTATAAACATTCGCGTTTGAAGTGAATAAAGCCTGGAACCAAAGGATAGAGACTCTCGAATAGCATGACATGCAGCCTATGAGACTGTATCCTAGTGAAATGAAAGGCTCACCCTAAGGGCCTTCACACAGTCGTCGCAATCTCTTCCACAGACTACTGGATTGGTACATAACGGCTAGTTTCAGCTAACATCGAGGTGTATGTTTGGCTGTATTGGTTTTGGGAGCACCAAGGCGGTATCATTGGACTAGTCACCCACTCTTTCTCTCACAAATTGATGGATTCCAACTTGATTAAAACTAGAATGGCCATAATAAGGGGCATCCTTGAATAGTCACACGTTCATTGATCGCGAAGTCAGAGGTTCTAAACTTGACGAACCATATTCCTTAATATGGTACGGAACTGGTTTGATCAAGTGTGCCTAACAGCAGGTGGAGGTGCCAAATTTCGCTACCCACTTCTCATAAAAATTAGACAACAGAATTCGAACTGTCAAGTATGAAGAACTATCAGGCATGAGGGACTTGAGTGTCCAGATGTCAAACAACGTCCTTACGACGCATGCTCCTTATTATACGCTAATTGTAACCTCCATCAAAACAGGATACCATATTGAAAAAGTATGAACGTATCACTAACTGAGCAGTTTTTATAACGTTTAGCATTCCCCTGGCCGTTATCTTCCTACTACTGTTGATTTTTTCTCACTTTACTGCAGCTTACGTAGTCATTCTCCTGTTCGGAGGGTAAGGCCACCCTGGATGGCTCGCATCAAAGGCTGCTCTGCATCCGAGATTCGTTTTGATCATGACCTACCAGCGGCTCATATCCATGGTCGTACGAACATCATTCGTCCGATATTTGGCGATACACGTTTAGCGCCACTCTACCGGTGCTAATGATCTTTCCTAAAGAACATAGGCGTGTCGACTAGCCAGAGTAGGGCAGGAAGGAGATTGCTTAAGTGAAACTGATTTGCATAGAAATTCAAAAAGTACCTTCGAATACTGGAAATATTAGTGTTTGGCATATCGTTGTGTTTGACTTCGACTCTTCCATAGCAAGTCAGTCGTGGTAAGACATACTCTGTTCTATGGTGTATCCTTTGATCATGATTACTCATTGGACCAAATACGGTGCACAAGCGCATCCCTTCTTTTTTCCACTTTTTAGCTGTTCCAAATACAGTCTGACAGAAAAAAAGTGGTTTCCCATGGCATCTTTAGATGCCCCACGCTCTCATCATAGTCTCGTTTCTGTTGAAACGTTCCTCTACGGTTTTGGAGGCTACCGCATGGACTGGAGTACTGGCTACACACTACCAACAGATTCGATCTTTGTTTACGATGCGATATTCAATCGATGGACGCAGTCTGTACATAAACTCCCATTCGTCGCCGTTGACATGGGAGCCGTTTTGCTTCCATCCAAACGTAAGTTTGGACTTGAAGCTTTTTTGATCGGAAGGTATCCAACTAATTGTACCAAAGGACTATTAATTTCACTGTTACGTGCTACTAGCAATATTTTGTTTCTCTAGCCAACATCGTTCTCTGCAAATCACCAATACATGGTCGAGAACATTTTTCTGTTATTGGTCTACCATCTACTGAATTCTGACGTCTGGGAGGCTTTTGCATGCACATTCCATTCGTTTGTTCTTCTTATCCAACTCGTACAGTTTTCAGAAATGAACCTCATCCTCCCCTGTAGGTGGGCTGTGTGTTTGAAGCAGCGGGTGGTGCTTTTGAGAAACAGAAACTTTTACGAACATGCACACTATTCTTATGGCGCTCTCTAGAATATACTCTGATTGTCCGCCATATTGACGTTTAAATATCTTATCCCACAGTGCATATATGATGTTTTGGAAGCTGTGCAGTTGACGAGGCTGATATGAGGAAGTTCGACGACGTCCTTGGAGCTGTCGACTCTTTGGGTATTCATCCTGATATCAGTTTTCATAGTTTGGACCATGAATGTTTTGTTGTTGTTTTGCTGTACTTTAACAGCACATAAGTGTTTTATTCCTAGAGAACTTCACTTCCTTTTGCTGCATAAAATAGCATCTCATGAGTTATTGATGGGGTCACCATGTGTGTCTTATCGCTGTCGTCTTCTTCCACAGGATCTGAAGACGTTTGATGCCACCACTTGATTGATGTTCACACACTAAGCCCCCATCTACTTAGTGATATTCATTCGAATGTTCCTTTCCTTACCACGGCTAAGACTGTACACAACGTGCGAAACATGTGGACTACTCGTCTCTCTGAAATACGACTAGCTCTCTCCCACGATCGGATTGGGCTGCTTTTTGAAGATTTTATGGGAAAATGAAAACAAAGTGCTTACATTTATCACCAAAAGGCAAGTTTTTAACTACGAAAATCCCAACCACCCATCAGCCGTGATACGCACTATTGACAAGTAAGGAAGGCCGGAAGCGTGACATGAAAACCAACTGCTTCTGATGCACTCGTTTCGCTACTACAGTACATTTTTATTTAAGGTTGATACGGCAACATCATGTTTGAAAAGCACAAAAGTGTCTCTAGGGGAAGTTAGCAGGTTCCTCTGGTGCGTCGCTTAAGTCTTCAGCTAATACAGTGAAGTAGCGTCATAGGTCCAGCACTGCGAATCTTTCACAGGTCTCACTTCGTGCGGGTAGAATAGGCTTTTCGAGTGACGAAGTGGATGAGGAAATTGCATCCATTTGGTTCAGTTTTGTTCCCCAGGACCACACGACCGTTTGGTACTTCGTGACTCTGTCTTGCCAATTCTCCAATTTTGCTCGTCAATCATGAACTCACCTGTTGTTTTCCGTAGTCTTCTTATGATGATTCGTCCCATCACATTTAGCTGGTAATGATGCTGTCAGCTTTTGCGATTGTTCTAGAAAATAGTTCAAACTATTGGTGAATCACTTCAATCTCTTTGTTTATTCCACAGGTATGATTATGTTAGCTGGTGGTCTCCAGGAGCATGGTGACGAGATGCGCCCTTCCAATAATGTAATACTTTATGACCCAGCAGAGGACGGGAATGCCTGCTTCATCACGCTTCCTAACCTTCCTCTCCCTCTAACCGGTGTCGCTTTAGCCTACGATGAAATCAGCGATCATGTGTTTGCTTGCGGCGGAAAGTCTGATCCAGCACACGCCACCCAACCGGGTTTTGTGAGGGGTGACATATCTGGTCACGTGCTGCAATTCAGCTTCGATACGGTGAGTGCCCAACTTAGGATCATAGGTAGCTTCCTTACTGAAGCTAAAAGGAATCTATGGGTAATTACTGTAATTACTGGCAAGGAAACTTTTCGTTAGATGGCTGATCGCATCCTGATTGCGCCCTGAGCAAACGTTCTTTCTGTTCCATATCTACATTTCGCCCACAGCATTGTTGGTCAACGGTTGCTGCCCTGGATTGTCCCCGCTATCACGCCACCGCCCTGATACATGATTCTAAGCTCTTCATTCTTGGAGGTATCACGGAGGACGATACGGCTGAATTCATAGGTCGCTTACTGTACGATGAGCTGAAGTCTCTATCTGAATCCACAGACCAGAGTTCTTCACATAATTTGGCTGAGGAAGCCCCCGACCTCCTTACTGTACGAGACCCAGGGTTCATTTTACATCACCTGTTTTCCCCAAACTACCGACGTCCAGATTTGCTCTATCATCCCTATCGTCCCTGTCATTTCATCGAAGCGGTGAGCATTCTTCGACAGACTGAGGCTTCCGGTGACCCTACCACCTCGAGCATTTTGGATCCGACTCCCGCACCCCGTCTGAAGCGTTGCCGATTCCCTGTGGAAGTTTATGATACCCAGCAGCCATGGTTTGGTCGATGTCTTGCACAGTACTGTATTGCCCCCGATCTCCCTTGAACATGTGTACATAACAAGTGCAACCTCCCTGTGATCTCAAAAATTGAACCAATGTTGACGTCTTTCAATCTATTTTGTATAATAATTGAATACTCGGCTTTAGTGACTTATACGTTATTCATCCTACTGTTCATCAGGAGGCTATGGATGACTAAAACAGTCTATTTTTCGATGCTGCGATTTTTTTCTTGTTCTCTGTCGTGTTTGCTGCATTTCGGTCATACCTGAGCGTATGACCGTAACAATACTTCATAAAAGTGAGTACTTCAGAGAAATCGCAGTAAGTTCAGTCCGGTCAGCACTGGGATGCCGTTGTTTCTGGGCGTTTGTAAAGGCTGGGACTTTATCGCAGCTTCAATAGCTTCATCAAGCTGTCCCGTCCCATATTCTCATTATTGTCATCGATACCATCGCGGAGTGTGCTCTCTGAGAGGCGACGAATTTGTGTATAAAAGTCACAGCTGGAGAGAGATTGCTAGACTGGAATGGTGTGGTTGATTTGTTGATCATGCTTCTGCGCAAAGCACCCTACACAAAATACCAGAATTTGTCCCTTGTTCCGGCATACAGTTTGCATCTTCAAAGTGCGAGGTCTTACTTCACTCAATCCCACTATCGTATACGCCTTTTAAAGTTCAGAATTAGGAGCTTGAGTTTGTCTATAGATAGCACTTGTCTTGAGAGCTGCATAAGGCGTGGACGCACTGTGACAGATGAAGTCAAAGCGCACGTCACCAAGAAACGAGCAGTATTTCATAACTTTCTTCACCTATGGCGTTGGAGACGAATTTACTGAGGGTAAAGTCCGTCTCTACAAAACTGCTATGCGAATAGTTCTACCCCATGACGGTGAAATTCGATCCATCCGATTTGAAAACTTCAAACGTCTTTAAAAACTTGACAATCGCTGTCTCCATACCGCAGCAGGTGCTGACTGGTTGCAGCATGTGTTTAGTGGAACACACCGTAAGCAAGCACCATTTAATGAATTGGATTCACTGGAGCAGCAGATAATCTACCAAGGAAACCGTGTTTTCCAACACAAACTTGTTGGCGCATAGTTCGCGGAGGACAGATCAGAACATGCCAGCGGGAAATGAAGGCGGCTGCTGTCCATTTCAGTGCTGTGGGATCTTCACGGCGGGCCGCCTGGCTAAGGCTCGTCTGTCATGTGCTGGGCTTTTGTTGAGCGAGGCTCCCAAAAATCAAGTTGGGTTAGTCCTGCCTATGGCGTATTGCTCTAACATGACGCACAGATGTGTTTATCTCAGTGGAAGATGTAGACGCCTCGCTATTGTCTACTTTATCCAAGGACCAACCATTTTGCAACGAGCCCTCATCCCTCCCTTTGCTAGGGCCTTTCTTTTCCATGATTAAATGGCACTGCCGGTGTATTGCTGGCTATAACTACTAACTGTTTCGGAGGAGGACAAAATCTCACTATACTGAACTTCCCGGTGACGACCTCAATTGTGATTATACTTAGCTGCGTCCCAAATGTACGAACAACGAAAATGAATTTGAGGCGAAATAGTTTTGGATTCCTCACAGGGTTTTGGACTTCGAAGGTGTACATGTAATTAAGCTTCACTGTGCCTGACGACTCCTGTTATCAACTTCATGGTTATTGGCTGTCAGTCTAGCTCTACTTCAAGAAAGCTGACACCTATGGAAATTTGGGGTATACATATCAAACAAGAAGTATCGGTTGGTTACAACTTTAGATAGAATAGAGTTCGATTAAACGGCCAATCTTTTTTGGAGTAGATAGTAGTTCTGTAGTGTACTACTCATAAGGTTGCTGAAAATCCGTCGACAGCCCACGACCGGTTTCACCCTTTTTGATGCCCATCAGATAGGCGCAGTCCGCGGATTTCCGTCAACCTTATGTTCTACTTGAAACCAAATTGCATGAAATTAGCCAATACACACTCATTTGCAAACTAATTTGGTTTTTCGAGAGACTCACCTGGAACACAGCTGAATCTCTCGTTTGTGATGTTCTCAGAGAACATATGTATATTCGCTAAGATAGTAGTTTTGTTGTCGGTCTTGTAGGCGCGCATTTTTCGCAAATGCATTTGGTGGATTCGGTGGTTTTGGTCCATGTAACTACCTGGATTTAGTTGACTAATTCATGACCCAACGAATTCTTTACCGCAAATGTATCTCTGTGTTGCCTTAAGTGAGCTTTGCGACTAACTGCGCCATCTACATTTACAAGTTGGTGTTTAGTCGAAGCGTCTCACTCTACAGTGGACAGCCGTTTGTCGTTTCTCCGATCCTCGAGGTTACATAGATGATGTGAGACACTGTTCGGAACCACTAGTGTCTGTCTACCCCATATATAAAATTATGGGATTCCAGTTTTTAGCTTTATTAACCGGAGCCGGACTCTAATGTTTTCGCCTCTGTTTTGTGAAAAAACGTGTATGCGACATCTCAGCACCTACTGGATCGTCGCAGTCGTTGTGCGATCGTTTAGGCTATTTTGTAACGAATTCATTTGTTTAAATCACCACTAACACGACGTTTGTGTTTGAAATGCTTGATTGTCTTTGTGTCTCTAACCGAAAAGATATGTGCCCGGCCTAAACGTTCCTAATTTACTGCCCTTTCCGTCTTCATAAATGAAGCAAAGCTATGCGTACCTGTGGGAGCTTGCTAAACCAGTCTATTCTAACCACTAGGGATACTATTACTGTGTATTCAGCCGCTGTTTCATGTAATTAGGCTCATTTGGTAGTCTATCATTCCGGTTTTTGTGAATTAGTTCAGTTTGATTAAACTCTTTGTCACTTGTTTTCTTCATGCCAGTTTTATTATAGCGCATGGTCAAACCTTTCCTTACGAATATGCGAAGTTCACCTCACATCATTCTGGATCGAAATCCGAATCAGGGGCGTGGTGGCTCAGCGGTTGGAGCGCGAATTCACTGACCGGAAGGTTCATGGTTCGAACCCGACCTCTTTGTCTCGACTTCCCCTTTCTAGGCTTGGGCAACCTGGCAATATCCCAGCCCTCATGCTTCAATCAGGTAGCATGGCACCGAAAGGGTGTTACTAGCAGAACATGGAACTCGCTCATCAGCTCAGCTCAGTTCGCGGAACAGAAATCTTTCTGAAAAGCCTCAAGATAAGATACAAGAAATCTCGTGCGCAGATACTTCGGGCAGAGCTTAACCACTGCTCTTCTGATGTTATTTACGGTCATTAAGCAAAGAATTCCGTTAAACAATACTTCATCACATTTGACCGGGCTCGCATAGTTGCATAGTTATCAACGTGGTGAATCAGTCACACAGTGCGGTTGAAATCAGTGCGCATCAAGTGATGTGTGTAATTCAGTTACGTATGAAGCTGTCTCCCACAAAGTTGTATATTCATATCAGGTAGTATGTAGTTCCTAAAAACACATAGGAGACAAACTCGTGTTAGCTTCAATACAAATGCAGCTAACAGCGCAACCGTTTTAAAGGTAAATTTTTGATATCGTGCCGTCACAAAGGGACTGGACCTTACCATGGTGTGACGGTTTGTGTGCCCCCGTGACCCATTGAGCTATACTGGGTGGTGTCCATGCGACACACGGAGTCTCTCATACCAGGTTGCTCAGTTGTTAGAAGTCTGAGCAACACAGTCTGTTGATACTCCATGTTGGGGGTCGGAAGACGTATGGCGACACTGCTGCTTTGCCGTCAGGCTTTTGAGCCAAAGGCTTTGTTCGGGGGCTCTAATCATTCTGCTCTCTAAGTATTGGCACCCTGGCAGTATCCCAGCTCATGCACAACCATGAAGTGCACACGTACAAGTAAGCTCATGCCACATCAGCCGTCACGTGGTGCCATCAGCTGGGCCAACTTACTCACTGCATACAGCAGGGCGAGTAAGCGAAAACAGGCTACTGCTGACGCTTCCATTCTTTCTCTTTCACATACTTTTTCTTCCCCCTCTCCTCACCCCCAATTATTGGCTCTCTTCTTGTAGACCCAGCACTTAGGACTGGTGACTCCGGTTTTGTGTGCAACATCCGCTCGTCATATGGCGCCGACATGCTCAGGTATCTGCAAATCAATCTTCAAGCCTCGACACTGAGTCTATCTGACTGCATTTAATGTTCGCACTCTGGAACGGGTAGAACAACAAACTGCTCTTGCTCTCATACTGGCCTCGCATGGCATTGATATGTACCGTGTATACGAAACAAATATTCAGGGTGCAAGCACAATGGTTGAACTAGCTGCATCATTCACAATCCAGCTGCGAACCTCTGTTGATCCAGAGACTGCTGCGGTGGGATGTGCAGGGGTTGCTATCGTCCTAAGTCACCGGGCAGAAGTATCTTTGCTTGACTGGATACCGCTTGATAGTCGTCTCTGTGCGGTTCGTCTGGCAAAGTCTGTGAAGAAATCTCACAACCGGCAACTTGGCCGATATCTGTTTTTCGTATCTGCTTACACTCCAATCAACTGTTACTCTGATACCATTAAAGACAGGTTTTATGACGCCCTGAATACCCTCTTGCGGTGATCTAAAAGCTCAGATGCCGATGTGGTTGCTGAAAATCTGAATGCACAAGTGGGCGGTCTTAGCGAATTTGAGACTCATTTAGGTGGTCGACATGGATCAGACTCGGTACGACCGGACAATGGTAAATGGTTGCTGACCGCAGACTGTTTTTATGCAGTGCCAACTTCCGAAATAGACGATGTCGTCCGGCCTCATGGTGTCCTGCAACGGCGTGCCGGCTACAAACGCAAAGTGACCACATTGCCATCAGTTACGGATAGCGCAGTTCAATAACTGACTGCCGCTCGTTTTGGAACATATTCGTGGAATGTGACCACGCGCTCGCCGGGAATCGCTTTACCCTTCATTTTTCAGGACCACATAAGGTGTGGACGAATCACTTAGCAACTGAGAGACTGGCAAATCCGGATGTTCGACGAATTTACCAGAATCGTCTTCTCAAGTCTCTTCCAACTGATGGGACGAGATCGCCCCTTCTTTGCACTGCTGGGAGTTTTGTATGTGGCATTGCTTGAATATCAGAAAAACGTCCCCACCAGTCCTGAGCATAGTTTAGCCCGTCGAATAATGAGACGTTAAGTTAATGTGAATGCTGATCGTCAAGCCTGAAGGCACCGACGGCTAAGGAAATAAAAGTGGCCTAGAAAGGCGTGAATGCCCGAAAATTATTTCAGTTGGTCAGCGAAACCGATCATCGGAAACCACATGTGAGCGAAACCATCAAGGATCAGAATGGAGCGACCATCTTGAATAAAGAACAATCCGTCGACCGCTGGGCGGACTACTCGTGTGGCTCGTGAAACACTGAATCAAGAGGGGCAAGCAGGGTCTCGGCCTGGTAAGGGTTGCATCGACCAAATCTTCACACTCCGTCATGTGCTAGAACAACGTCATATGTACAAACCACTCTTGGATCTCCAAGGCACATTCGACTCGTTAGTTGGTCTGTTCTCCCATCGAGCAATGCCCCGAAAGTCTGTGAATATAATAAGTTTTCTGTATTCTCAGACTTCCAGGCGTGTGAGGGTAAATGGAGAGCTTTCCAAAAGCCTCCTTACACAAAGCGGTGTCCGTCAGGGGTGCCCATTCTCCCCATCCTTATTTCATTTCCTGATCGATGAAATCATGGGACGAACGCTGGAAGTTCTTCAAAACCCCGATATTCAGATAGCATTGACGAAAACCTTACCGATCTGAAATATGCAACGACATCGTACTCATCTTCGAAGAAAAGGTGGCGCAGGTGTTTTCGGATGAACTAGCCAAAGACATCCCTTTCTTTGGTATGCACTTTGCATCCTCAAAGTTTTAGGGCCATGCGCGTGGACATGCAGCCTTACGATCCAGGGAAAGGTACTGGAAGTTATATTAGTTCCGATTTTCGCATGACAGATGAGTTCAATGCACGAATCGGTAAGCCTTGGGTCGTGTTTGCTAGTTTGCGACACCTGTGGTGTCAAAGCGGTATATCCCTGAATCTCAAGGGACATCTGTGTCAGCCTACAGTACGGGCTGTGTTGTTATATTGCTATGAGCAGCGGAACTGAGGTGTCTTCAGGTGTTCGACAGTCGTTGTCTGAGAAGCATAGCTCATGTGTTAGTTTCGGCTAATCCGTAACGAGGTAATTAGAAAGCGAGTTTTCGGTTGTGCAAAGTGGACTTCCATTGAAGAGTTGTAGTACGGGAAGCTTTGTTGGTTAGGTCATGTATTGCGCGTGCTGAACCATCGTTTGTCGAAGAGACTGCTGTTTTCCGTGCCCAATTCGGAGTGGTGGGAGCAGGCAGGTGGCCAACCCTTGGCCTGGGGGGGATGAATATTGCTATGAGCAGCGGAACTGAGGTGTCTTCAGGTGTTCGACAGTCGTTGTCTGAGAAGCATAGCTCATGTGTTAGTTTCGGCTAATCCGTAACGAGGTAATTAGAAAGTGAGTTTTCGGTTGTGCAAAGTGGACTTCCATTGAAGAGTTGTAGTACGGGAAGCTTTGTTGGTTAGGTCATGTATTGCGCGTGCTGAACCATCGTTTGTCGAAGAGACTGCTGTTTTCCGTGCCCAATTCGGAGTGGTGGGAGCAGGCAGGTGGCCAACCCTTGGCCTGGCAGAGGGGTATGAAAGAGATTGTGAAACGTTTGGGTGCTGCCGGTGCTATTTGCCTTCCGGGATGCGAACCGCGTAATCCCCACCACGCGCGGTTGGAGACACTGCGAGATATGGCTCCTAATCGATGTCAGTGGCGTTTTTGTTGTCAGTTTCTATCTACCAATTGCCTGACAGTATCTGTATTTGTTTGTTTGTAGTAAGCTACACTAAGCCCCTCTCCCGTTCACTTTTATTTTTATCTTAATAAGGCTTACAAATACATCATGGCTCTACGGCAACGAAGCATCATTGTTGAACACTTATGTGATGCTGTCCTTAATGACGATGATGCAGCTGCTCTGTCTGTTCGTCCGTGACTGTTATGCCAATGAACAGGGTTCTATCGAATGTGCGCTTTGTTCCATGGTTTTACCAACATAATGTGTTAACCTAACATGCCATCTCACCCGCCGCCTCAGTGAAATTACCCGCATCACTAGAAAACCTCAGCGGAAGCAGCCGGCTTGTGGAGAAATCTTGAATGGCTAGATGAGGCTACTATCTCAATAGACTTTAAAAAATTAACGACTTATCGATGTTGCGGTTTTTTCTTTCCTCATGACTCTCAAGGAACCCAAATTCGTTTACGGTGAGTTTTCTTCTGAGAATGTACACATGTAATCAGCAGCAACCGTTAGTTTTTGAGTGGAATTGGGCCGATCGTAGATTCAATCCTGTTTTGATGGTCCTCACCGTGATACAATTTATCCGAAAGGGATTCCCCCCTTAACTGAATCAATGTCTTTAATCCGGGTGTTAGAACTTTGAAAACAAATTGACAAGGAGTCTGATTTTAACTCGATCAAAGCCGATCCACGTGAGAAGATCCGAAGCCTAACTTTTTCGTCCACGGTGCAGCAACTTCACAGGATCTCCTGGAAAACATGACATGCAACGATGTGGTCGGTTTTTTTTGCTTGCGAATTACAAACCCTGAACAACACGCCACATTCTTTGCGAAACCTGTCGAGTTGTGTGTAGTAGCTGCATGATCGTTAACACGGTGTGCTTGATAATGAACAATTACAGCATTGTGATCGGTCAGAAAAAGCCAATTAATACATAACGCTTTCTCTGGCACGAGCATTTGCCTTTAGGCATAATTGTTTTTGTTTTTCCTGTGTTTTTTCCAGCTTAATCATGGTCTCCGAGAGTGAGACCACACCGGTTATACCACGAAGTATAGAAAAGGACCTTGAGTTGGCATCAAGTCCGCCTACGGCTCGACCAATCCAAAAATTGTCCAAAGATGTTATCAATCGAATAGCTGCCGGAGAAGTCATCCAGCGGCCAGCAAACGCCGTGAAGGAGCTGTTAGAAAACTGTCTGGATGCTGGTAGCACACAGATTCAGGTAATGTGACATGCCATTGGTATGCATTGCTAGTAGTTTTGCCCGGTTTTCATCATTGAAAAGTCACTTTACAGCTGTTTTCACATTTTTGCATTCGTTTCATGAAATTTCTTCTTTTTCACTTTGATCGGATCGGAATAAGTCAGCCTTCCCGAAAGCATTATTCCATTAGGTTTGTGTTAGTTTGACGTGCAGTGGCGTAGTAAAAAGTATATAGTATAACTCTACTTTTTCCGCCCCTAGTTGTCCTTACGTTATGGAGTTTTTGTCTTTGTACTTTACTGTACAATGAAGGAGTGGTTTCCTTCCCTGAATACCTTGCACTACTTGTACTTTATTCCATGCTGCTGACGCACTTTGTGTATGTCTCTATGTGGGTCTGTTGTGTGATGCGATGAGGTCTGGTAGATTGCTACCAGACGCTAAATCCAAACTCTTACTTTACTTCGGATTGATCAGTTCCCTAAAGCGGTCGATCAGCATTGTGGTGTTTAGACGGTTCACACTGCTCATTGGTACCTTCCACTCTTGTTGCCTGGGAACAAATGATGGGCTTTTTCGTCCCGCCTATGGTTGACGATTCTGATATAATTTCACTCACATCTTGCCTTTTGGAAGAGACTTGATGAAACTTCACCTCAAGTGTGTCCTAACCTTTCCCAATAAATTATCTCGTCTCAACTGCAGAATAGTCATGGATTCTCTCGCAACACGAACCACCATCCATGTTGGGAAGTATTCATAACCACAGATGACCGGAGCGAGGCATGCCTTTCAGTTGTGTTTGGATACGCTTGATGTTGCAGTATTTGCCGCTGTCACTTCACTCTAACTGTATGTTTGTGTTGTTTGTGTGTGTGTTTGTTTCATTACTGAGACCTGTCAAACTATGAGTCTGTTCCGATCGACCTGCTTCGGACAGCAGCCCACCAGACATTTGCTTCTTGTGACCTTGCTTGATCAGTTTAGAGGACACGTTCGGTAGGAACAGTTGGTCTAGAATGAACATTAAAGCTTCGTTAGATCCCCAACACGTTTTTCTGATACGGAGAGAACGATACACAACAGTTCATACCAGACATTTCTGTGTGGATAGTAGCAGCTTATGCGGATGCAGAGGTTGGGCTCGAACCACAAACATTCCTATCCGTAAGTTGGCACCCTAGCCACCGAGCCATCTTGAGCCCTCGTATTAACTATATATTATACACATGACCAACTAATGTTTGTCTGCTGGACGTACGTCTTATCGATCAAACCAAGTAAATAGTAGCAACTCTCATGTCAACACGAGCTCAGGCGATCGAGCGATAACATAGATCGAATTTTGTGCGGGCCAGAATGCCATTTCAATAAACACACCAACTCTTAATAGGTCTGATAATGAGTAGCAAAAAATGGTGCCCAGTTGACCAGTTCCTTGTGGCGATATCGGCTCATTATGAGATCGTCTTTATCTTGGTGTGAGGATTTGTGGGGCTTCATGACCCACTTGAGCTGTGCCGGATGGCGTCCGTGTAACACTCACAGAGCCCGTCTTTGATCAGTGGTTATAGGTTTGGCCAACATAGTCTAATAACCCTCCAGTTTGGGGGCTAGAACATGTGTGACGAATTGTTCTATAAAATTTGCTCATGCACTTACATTTCCCGCCAAACACCGCTTGCTTAAGATCAGGCAGGCTTTGATCGAGGACTGTAATCATCCCCCTCTCTAGGTCTCGGTGCCCTGGATTTATCCCAGCCCCTGAATGAACACTAACAACACTCTCATCGACCGTCGCGGGGTTCCACAGGCTGGGTCGCCTTACTTGTTGCATACAGCATGATGAGTAAGCGAGACAGTGCTACTGCACACGCCTCCCTTCTTACACTTCCACCCTGAGATAGACCATTCAGCTATAGCACTCTTTCAGTGCCTAACTGCCACGCCACCCGAAGGAAGCACGAGGGCTGGGATACTCTCAGGTAGACGGGGGAAGTCGAGAGGCAGAGGTCAGGTTCGAACCACTGATCTTCCGGTCAGTAAACTCGGTAACCACTGAACCATCTTACCCTATCCTACCCCAATTTGGATATTCTTTTCGGAGATTTCAGCACTGAGGCTGACAGCCTCTTGCGTCATGCATCGCAGTCAGTTGTATCTTCTTTAAGTCAGACTTCATCTACAATCCTAAACACGTCGAGGTCTGTTGGAAAAGTTTGGAACCGATTGAGAAGCCATCGTTTCAGAAGGGCTTGGCAAACAGCCGGTGGTTCTCAACTGGGCAACGTTTCGCTTTTGACACAAAGGCTTCATCAGACGAAGTGAGCAGGTCACCATGTTGGCCAGGTTTTAAGGCAGTCGAAGAATCAATCAATAAGACCTCCTCAAATTAGCACACTAGATCAGTGTTGAGTGTCAATTAACGGCTCTTGTCGATCAGTGTGGTTGCCAAAATCTTGCACTGATCGGTTGAAGGAATTTCAAATTATTTCCGACCGGTTTTGGTTCCTTAATCTTCTGCTTCAGTTGATAATTCGCCGCGAATGCCACTGGTAGATTAGCCTGAGTAGGCGTCACTTGCGAAGGGTTTTGATACCAGCAGCGAAGCCCAACAGGGAATGGATTGGGACTGTTGTTACTCCATATAAACCAGGAACATTGGAGGGCATTCGAAGGCTTCTAAACACAACTAACATAAGATTAGTTTTCCAGAGTGGAAACACTCTTCACTAGTGCAATTGAAGGATCACCTCCTGAGAAACACAATCAGGGACTGTGTCCACAAAATTAGGTTCACTAAGGTCTATATAGAACAGACGGCCGGGAAACTTCACACCATAATCAGAGAGCATAGGAGGAAACTAAACAGGTCGCCTAGAAACGTGGGTGAATATCAATCTGAACACGCACTGGACACGGGATACAAAGTAGATTCAGAAAATGTTGAATATTTAAGGCGAGGACTACGGTCCACGTCACAGAGACTGATAGCTTAGGCGGTTCAAATCCCCAAGCATTCCAGTGTTAACAGAATAGAAAGCGTGGAACTGGAAAGCATGTGGAGAACGGTTTCTGATTAGTCGTGTGCGTGTTGGTGTGCGATTATCAGAAAGAGAAGCAGCTACTTAACCGTACCCACTTTCCCTCCCCCCACAAACTAAATTGTCGCAACACCCACAAGCCCACGAAGACCAACCAAATCTAGCAGTGACACGCAGTGAATCATCAATTGAAGCACCCAGAAGTGGACGATTAAGCAACTAAACCCGATCGGAACTAATCTAAAACTCCTCCAGCCTATCAATGCAAGGTTTTGTCAACCACACTAACCGACAGGAGCCGAAAATTGACACTCAACACTTATCTAGTGTGATAATCTGAATAAGTCTTATTGATTGGTTCTCCGTCCGCCTTAAAACCCGGCCAACATGGTGACCTGCTCACTTGGCCTGATGAGGCCTTTGTGTCAAAAGCAAAACGTTACCCAATTAAAAACTACCGATTGATTACCAAACTCTTCTGAGACTTCTAGGTCTGCTTTCGAATCCCGAAAGCCGGTATACTTAGCTTTCTTTATTGTTTGCCCAATAAAGCAAGCAGGGCAAGAAATGACTGTTGATCCTACGCCCAATTCATTGTGCATTGATGTATGCTGTCTGTCAGAAGCAAGGATCCTTTACGTGAATATTGGGATCGAACTGACTGCCCCCTCACTGCCTTCCTGCTTTCGGCTATGCACCTCTGGTGATGCATAGGCCACCACAGCTGGATATGCTGGACTGGATATTATGTTGATCAGAAGCATCTTTGCTTGATTGGATACCCGTTGATAGTCGTCTGTACGCGGTTTGTTTGCAACGTCTGTGGAAGAATTTTGAAAAGGTGGAGTCCATCGCACACTTGGTTCTATTTGCTTACGCCTCAACGGACTGTATCTCTGAATCTGCTAAGGGCAGTTTCTATGGTGCCCTAGGTGCTCTTTCACAATGGGAAAAAGCTCAGACAGCGTTGTGGATGCTGGTGATATGAACGTCAAGGTAGACAGACTGAATGCTGTTGAGGCCAAATTAGATACCAGACGCGCGTACAACGGAGAGCGTGCACTTCAGGTGTATGCTGACCGCAGGATTTTCCTTTCCGAAACAGTGAAAGTGTGGTGCCCACCAACGAACCAGTCACGAATCCAAGCAGACCACATCGCCATGAGTTACCGGTGTCGTGCGTCAATCACTGCATGCCGGTACCTCTAGAATACCAGCATGAACTCCGACCATAATTTTGTGCGCTACAGCTTTTCACTGGGCTTTTCGGGTGTACACCAACCTCATCAAAACATTAAATCTCTCATAGGACAGCGGCTTTGCTGGAGGTCAGGTGACAGATTCCCGCTGGCCTCAAACACAACTCAACTTTGCCAGCCGCAATTCAGTTTCATTGCAGATCGAGAAGCTTTGTGGACCCAAAAGGTCGAAAAATAGAAGGGAGAAATTCCGGAAACGTCTGCAGGTTGTTCCACTCTATTTGTTCGACTGGCCCATATAAGCCTTTAGTCAGCGAAATTATCAAGAATCAAAATGGCTCTCCGGTATTCAGCAAAGAAGAATGTTTGGACTGTTGGGCATTGTACTTCGAACAATAATTCAGTTAGCCACCTACTGCCTTCATTCTGGGCTACCGGCCTTCGACAGAAAGGTGGATTGTGAGTATAGAACCCCCCTCGGTCTCAATGGTGTCCAAGTGTATATGTTTACTCAACCGTCATCATGCTGCTAGTCCTGATGACCTTCCTCCTGCTCTGTTCAACGATGACAAGGAGTTCCTCAGCCGTCGCCTGTCTAGCTCATTTGAGTCTCTCCGGGATAAAGACACTATTCCAGACATTTTGGGTGAATCGATAATAGTGTCTATTTTCGAAAATGGTACAGGCAGGGAGTGTAACAACCACAGATGTGTTTATGAATCCCGTCATAACAGAGCGTCTGGCCTCACTGATTCTCCGGCGGCACGCGAATCACTGTCAGCATCAAGTGGAATTTTGGCTGTGTCAAAGCAACGTCATATGTACGGACGACCTTCAGTTCTGGTGTTTCTTGACTTCAAATGTGTGTTCATTCTGTCGATCGGTCAGTGTTGTTACCTGCATTTGCTTAGCAGGATATGCGCCCGAAGTATAAGAACATAATCCGATCCCCATATTTACATACCCCTGGGCGTGTGATGGTGTATGATGAGGTCTTGAGAAGCTTCCCTACAGAAAGTGGTGTCCACTATTTCCGTTCGTGTTCAACTTCGTCGTCGATAAAATGATGAGGTTAGCGCTGGGTGGTTTTCAAAACCCCGGGTTCTTAGTCTTTTCTGGTAATAATCTTGTCAATCTGGAGTATGCAGACATGTTCTACGTCTTTGAAGACGCAGGTGAGACACAAGCTCTGTTGAATAAGCTGACCATCATATTTGCACCTTTAAAGTGCAGTGTTGTGCCTCAGAACTTGCGGTTTCTGAACAGACCCCTTACAATTAGAAGGTTCCTGGAAGTCGGTGCACGAACCTCCAAGGTCCCAATCACGTTTGATAATATGAACCAGCTGTTGCCCAAAAGTTTTATGTATCAGGCTCCAATAAGGGCAGTTTTTTTGTATGGTTGCAAGACATGGCCTCTACGGATACATGATTGGGCACCTTCAGGATTCTGACCACCTCAGGAGCGTCGCTGTCCTCGAGTATTTTCGTAATGAGTTGATTGGAAAAAGAATATCTGGGTGTGCAGCAGGTACGTGGGTCGCAGAAAAAATCCGTCCCGATCAACTGCGGTGGCTCGGTCGGGTGCTATGCATGCAAAAACACCATCTACCGAGACGAGTGTTGTTTTCTATGCCCCCTTCGGAATAGCGGAAACCGCGAGGTGGACAATGTATGACTTAGCAGAAGGATGTGAAAGAGATTACGAAGAGTTTGGAAGTTGGTGCGGTACGCCTTTCCGATGCAGTTTCCGTCTTCCTGCTCTTGACCTGAGACATTGCAGGAACTGGCAGCTGATCGATTTTATTGGCGCCCGTGCTGTTAGTTTTCAATTGAGCTTTTGCAGGTGCAGGCACTTCAGAACCCTTGCAACAGGCCAGTACCACGTCCCATTTCTCACCCATTCTTTTCTCTTGTTTTCACTCTAACGCTTTAAATATAATTAGCTCAACTCTGTGGTTGTAGAAGAGTGATGCATCAATGTCAACACTGAAGTTGCTATCTCTAATGCTGTTGATTATGATGGCAGTAACTTGAGCGGCGGTTTTCCCCACATTTATGGCTCGCACTTGACTAGTTTGTGGAGTAGAAAATGATAGCTTAAGAATAAATCTGTCATTATCCGGGGAGGGGACCCAACTAAGTGCGATCACAGGAACGACGCTAGCTGTCCAGTCAGCGTCCTTAGAGTCAATTTTTGGTCAGTACTGGAAGTAATTCACAACGCGTCTCATTCTGTTTGATTCTTCCGAAGTGTATGTAGCACGACCGGTAGCATGTCTCTTTGCCCAACAATTTCCACCTTTTGCTACAGTGCCACATGGCTGTTGACCCAACCTACGCGCGTGGCGAATATAAAATTGAAGTGGTTTTACCACCTGTACACTCATCTGTATACCAATCTGGTTTTGAAGGAAGACTCCGCTGGAACCTAGCTAAATCTCTCATCCATGTTTTTGCTCTTTGGTCCGTGCTCAAGTGTCTCGAAAATCCAGCTACTTGAAAGTAGTCAAGATAGGAACACAATTTCTCCACTAAAACAAAAGAGGTGAATCAAGTGTGAAGTAATTCCAGTTCATGAACGGAGGAACATCCCACCTGGACACCGGGTCTTCCATGACGCACGAAGAGGCCACGAAATAGTGTACAGTGTACTACCACTCATCCATATTTACCGGAATGGGTTAGTTCAGTTCTGTCCTTTACACTTTCGGTGGCGCAGCCTGAGCAAATTTGTCCCTCCGTAACGCCATCATCATTGGTAGCAACGCCAGAAAGGAATACCGATGCTTCGCTGCCGTACAACCATATGAATTCATTTGAGAAAAAAGATACAGGAAGGGGATCTACGGACAGCCTGACACCAGCCTGATCCCAGAACTCAGCCAGGCAATCTGTAATGTATCGATCACACTGAAAATGGTTCATTTTGTTAGGAAAATCGTTTGATAATATGCTGATGTTGGAAACAGTCATTATCAACACTTCATTCTTGTCATTTCTGTTCTTCCCTCCTCTTTATTCTTTCTTCCTCTCTCTTACCCTCCAATCTTTGCTTCCACCGTGGAACGGCTGTTCTATCCCAGTTAAACTAATGTCATTGAACCTAAAGGAACACGAAGTATCACTAAACGAGACGGAAATAGCGAAGTATAATTTGCCACAAGTTGGTCGCCAAACGACATCTTTCAAAAAGTCAGAAAAGTCCCATTTCTCATGGTTGACATTGTAAAGTGAAGCACATGTGTTTGTTTAATATTCTGTTTTACTTGATCGACTAAATTGTGAGAGCAGAGTGGGTACATAGGGATTGTCGTACAACACTAGATTATCATTACTACTCGATTGCTTTCTTGGGGATTCAAATTTGCTCTAGATTTCAAGGGCCTAGATTGTTACTGCATCCTGTTTGTGACTCGTATTCAGTACGTTCATTTAGTCGAACATCGACCGGTAAGATGAACGACGAGCAAGAAGTCATCACTCGGCCTTGGTGAGGTCCCGTTGATACATAATGGGCTCACACGCCCACTCAGTGATACGAGCTTGTTTGATATGTTGGTTTTCGTTGGTTCCGTAATATATAAACCGATAGCAAGTTTACTGAAAGATTTAGACATTCAAGTTGGTCTGGACAAATAAGCTAAAATTTTTATAATGGGTAACTAGTTGGGGAAGTTTGACTGAAGAGCAACTGTCCTAGAACCGAATTTATTACTTCTTTCTACCTTTAGTAATCACTGCTTGCCCTTTCTCCATTGTTTTACAAGATTACTGTCCGTGCTGGTGGCTTGAAGTTGCTGCAGGTACAAGACAACGGTTGTGGCATACAGGTTTCGGATTTACCAATTCTATGTGAACGGTTCACCACCAGCAAGCTGCATGTGAGTCTCTTGCCACTTTTCCTACTTCGTTTATTCATGAGCTTGTCATAACATCATGCAGTGGACCCTCACGCTGGCATCCTCACTATTTTGACTCCTTTTTGGGTTGCTTACTGACGTCCGGAAAATTGTTTGACACGTGCTATAATGACTGACTTTTCCTCGATTTCCTTCATTCCCATTCAGCCTAGAACATTCAAATTTCCATCCTTCCAGACAGTTGTACAGTGATCAGTTTGTGGTCATCTGGTGTACACAATGCCCAGAGGCTATCGTGTTACACTTTGAGAGGGTGCGAAATACCATCGAGACCACCCGCTTGTTCCAATCGATCGTTGACCGTTGTCCATACTCGATATGCGCGATGCTCGCGGATTCAACCAGTAATGTACCAATTTTTCCGTAAAAGAAACTACTCACGAGGGTTCAAGTAGAACATAAGGTTGACGGAAACTCGGGGACTGCGCCTACTTGATGAGCCCCAAGAAGGGTGAAACCGGCCGTGGGCTGTCAAAGAGTTTTCAGCAACCTTGTGAGTAGTTTCCTTTATGAAAAGATACTGCGATATCTCGAATATCGTGCCAACTGAAACATGAGGCGGCTTGTGTGCAGCACTTTCAGTTGTAGAAGAGCATAAACGAGAGATTCAGTGGAGTCTCTTGTGGAAACCAAATTGATTTGCAAATGAGTGTATTTCTCGAAAATACTGTACCAAGTTCATAAATGCAGTCTTTTCCGTTGTGATTAGCGCTAGCTGGTAAGCAGTGCTGTAGGAATGACCAAAACTCGAGTAAGAATGAGTCAGCTGAAGGATGACATGTTAACCGTCGTTGTCAATGGCAGATGGAAGAAACATTTGTACTGACAGAATAAGCGCGTGTTGCACTGCAACGGGATTTTCCCATTTGAAAATGTTGTTAGACAAATGCTAGCCAATCCCTTGGACATGATTCTCAGTAAATCACGAGTTCTTCACAAGTGTCTAGTAGAGGAAGTAGAAAGATGCCATGTGATCACCTAGGAGATACTTCGGATACGAAAAGACTCACTGATTTGTGTTGAAAAGTCAGATGTATCCAGCAAGTGCGTCGACATACCCTTCGTCTGAAATGGATGAAGTTGATGGGAACTTTTTGGTGAACTTCACTGTACATGCGGCACAAATTCGGATGAGCATAGGACCCGCACCATGTAAAAACAGGAATGGAGGAAAGTGCTGTTTACTACACAGAAAAGTTCACTCTGGACAATCAGTATGCCTGAGTTTGCCACTAAAACAGCATGCGAAACTAAGGAATTCGCAATGATGGAATTCATGACGGAAAGTTTTTCATAGTTTAGGGTGAGTTTTCCCCGCAAGATGAACATTATTTGACTACACTAAGCATTTCCATCGAAGTATAAATCAGAATATCTGGTGATCATCATCTGCGTAAAGTTTCTATGAAGGCCTAGTAGAAGGGATAGTGCGTCAACCCGAAAACGTCCCGTCACATAGTGCTCAATGGACGGAGTCATTGGTACTGCCCTAGTACATTCTGTTCCGGACTCTCCCGATCAGAGTTTCGGACAAAATCTTTCGATTCCTGTTACCACTGACTCGTTAGTACCATAAGTGGATTGACAACCTTCGTCATGGGTGTATGCGGGAGTTGAGTGAAAAAAGTCTGAATAGTTCGACAGAAACATTCTAAGCATCGTCTTTCAATGATGAGGAATGCAGAACGTAGTACATCGTGGAACTCACCTATTTTAGTGGTCTAGACCAGCCTTACTAACTAGCTCCTTGCACACAGTCCTATTGGTTAAAATAATCAGGTGACCATAGTATTGTTTCGTAAACTATATGAAAATAATCTTTCACACAACTTACCGGTTGTTCTCTTTGAGCAAGGCCACAATTTCTGGTAAACTCCTCTGTACTCACTTTGTATTGGGTGCTTTTTTGTTTGGATTTTGGTTATGGCCAATCCTTGTAGGATCTCAGCATTTACTTTGCCTTCAGGCAGTCACCTGAGGTAAACTACTAACTCTGCTGAGCGTTCAGATTGCTTCCCATTGAGATGTTCAAAGTTCTATTGCCAGAAAATTTCTATCTTGCGTCCTTTCATTAAGAGTCCTACCCTCCACATTGGTTCGGTGATGGACCAATTCAAGTATCCATGATAATCTATGGTATTTTTAGGAAAACTTTTAATGTATCTTTTCTAGCTAACTGACCCTCGAAATATACTGTAGGCAGCATCAACGAGTTCCGAAGTCTGTAGACGATTTCATACAATCATACATAACTATTTGGCAGATCCTTCCCGTTGGGTGTAGTTTCTCGCGTTTTAATACAAGCTTTTCCGAACTGATAAATATTTTCATCAAGTGTAGATGCACATATCGACTTTCTGCTTTAACTGGTTGTCTGGTAATTGACGTCATTATGTTCCGGTAGATTTCTCACTCTCAACACCAGTCCCACCAGTTAACACCCAGATTCAGGAACGCTGCTCATCTCCCCCCATCCTTCCCTCTTTATTGATTTGTCCGAACAGGAGTTCTCGGATTTGTCCACTTTGTCTACTTTCGGGTTCCGTGGTGAGGCACTTGCTAGTCTCAGTCACGTGTCTCTGCTCTCTGTGACTTCCCGTACTGCCGATCAAAAATGTGCTTATCGTATGTCCTACCGGAATGGAAACCCATCCGGCAAAGCAGCTGCATGTGCCGGTAATAGAGGAACAACGATTTTGGCTGAAGATTTGTTCTACAATGCACCGATTAGGCGAACTGCTGTGCGGAGTCCTCGGGAGGAGTTTGCTCGAGTTGCTGACGTAGTCGCACAGTAAGCGATTTCATAACAATTTCATAGCTAACCTTAGAAAAGGTTAGCTGTGCTAGCCACTGAGCGGATCAACTTGAGGTGCCTCTCTATTGTTGGACACCGTGGAGGCTGTGGAGAGTAGGATACGTTTTTTTTCAATGCCAGTGACGTTTGACGACGGCTTAAGACGTATTGAAATTCCCTATTTAATTGGTTTTGTCGCCTAAGAGGAATCCATGGTGAAAAGATAGACGATACTTGAAGATAACTAAAAATATCAGCAATAGGCAGATCACGGATCTAGATTTTTATTCAAACTTGATACTTCACAAGTAAACTGGTATTCTCACCCTCTTTATATGGTCGGTGTCCCTATCACCAAGTTTTGTCTCCAGGTGAAGGCTTTCATGAATGGTTTTGACGTTGAGGCAACTTCACTGGATCAAAGATGGTCTTTTTCTGGGATTACTCTCTCCAGAGTGACTCAGTTGTGGTTGTAAGACACAAGTTGGATGCCCTGAGCATCGATGATGTCCTCTCAAGCAACGAAACATTTGCACAACCAGTGTGGAACTTGGTGACCATCAACATTCTTCCCTACTGCCATTCGACACACCCTGATGTTGTTTGCTATTGCTTACAGCCAATTGACGATTTAAGTTGCTGAACCACATCAGAGCATTGCATATTGAGCCATGCAGACCTTACCTGTGTGGTTACAACGATGCGTAATAAATCATATACGATGGCCCTTCTGAAGCATTTTATCTATCTCAGGTGAACCCATTGTGGTGTTTCGGCTAAGTGCAGTAAGGCAAACTGCGATCGAAGTCAACTGAACCGCAGATGGTGGACCAACCAGCGTAGTCAGTAACACCAGGAGGAGCTGTTTTGGACCGACTTTCGAGTTTAACTTCGAGGATTTGTTTTTCCTTCAGCTGTCGCAGCTGTCTCAGTTGGTTGAACTCAGCAGTCCTATAATTTTTGAGCTAATAATCATAGTCTAGAATTCGAGCTCATCGTTGGTGGTTAGTTTGTCACCTACCATTCACTACCCTCGTTTTATAGGTCTTACTATAATCCACCTGCTTGTCCATCTCTTCGTGTAGTTAGTAACATTCTAATCCTGACATCAAAGTTCTAACCTCAAATGTTTAACAGTTCCGTTTTCCTCTCTTACAGATACGCTGTTCACTATGCACCCAAGTGTGGTTTCCATCTACGTGCGCTTAACACCGGTTCAAACAGCACCGGCAGTGGTGAGTATCCAAGAGGCTGTACACCGGTAACAGATATTGCTGAATGATCTATTTTTAAGCGGATGTTTGAAGCACAACGCTCAAACTCATACTTTGTTACTCAATTCTTCGACCATCACGGTGCTCTCCACCAGGAGCTATGCATTGCCTAAACACCCTTTTGTCCGGCCCATTATAGCATACCGGATATAGTTGTCCAAAAAACCCGCATATACTTCCTTTCTAGCGGGAAACTTTTAGATTTGGCATTCAGATGTAACTCTACCTCATTGACTACAGCGGTCCAAATTCAACTTGGAAATTCAAGAAAATCTGCCTGTTGACTGCAGACAAAAGGGCGGATAACCAAGCTGATCGTTTGAACTATTTGTGTGAAGCATTTGTTTGCCCACACTCCATTGTTTTTTTACCGGGAGGGTAAAGTAAACGATGTCATGCTTGTTTGACGTTTTGGTAGAAGCGTTTGAGAGCTATAGATTTTTGGGGAAACAGTTAAACAAATCATTTTTACGGCGCTTAAAATACCGTCCTGAAAAAATCGCATCGTGCTTAAGATGACACGCGAACGATGCAGAGTTCAAGTTGACCTGGGCCAGCCAGGTCTGATTTCTTAACTCAATCGTGAACCGATTGCTTCTCTCAAGGTCTTGTGCACACAAGTTTCATTAATACCGACTGAGCGAAACAGACTCGCTGAACGACAACAGTTTCTGGTTCACACTGCTGTTTTGGTACCGACTAATGATGTGTTTCTTGTTCAGTGAGGCAGATTTTCGAGTCACAGGTTGCAGTCCGTCTTCTGTGCATTTCGTCTTCTGACTTAAGGAAAATGTCCTTAGATGCGTCCGCATGCGTTTTCACCGTTTCCCAACTTTCACCATAACTATATATATGAACATGTATACAACATGTGATAGCATCTCCATCGCAGAATCCTGCTAAATTTACACTACTCATTCTTCCTACTGAAATTCATATCCCTCATAGGTTTCTATCCCTTTTTGGGCGTTTCGTTGGGTGACTACTGACCAGGAGTTTGAGCGTTTTCCAGGTAATCGATGAAGCATTCTTCTGAACCCGATGATTCGTGATTAAAAAGACTTTCTTAAGAGATATTTCGTTCCGTGCGGTTTCCTCACCCTCGGTTTTCTTTCCACCCCCACATTGCAATCACAGATCTTCGTACCTCTGCTGGTTGGTCCCGCATGGATGCGGTTCGAGCCGTCATTGGGTCTGCGGTTGCTCAGAACTTGGTCGCATTTGACAGCTGTCAAACTGGGTCAGCCGACAGCACACGTTTGGCAGTTGAGCGTCTAGGGCTGCGATATGAAGGCTTGCTAACAACTCCAAGCCAGGTAACATCGGGTAAGTGAGGTGTCACACCAACGTCTCCATTTTCCACTTTGTTGTTGCAGTGGTTGGGTCGGTCTAAACCGCTACACAGTCGTTGTGATACTTCGCCATTTTCCAAGCGTATAGGGCCTTTCGAGCCGAAGTGCAACGGACAATTTCCGCCAGGTATTTAAGCGCAGTATACCCGGTCGCTCTGACAAAGAGGTGGCAGCTAGCCAGATATCTACAACTGACTTTTGTTTATAGAAGCTTATGTGGTTCTTAACTCCAGTCCCCTGGACTTAGTTAATTATCTCTTAGTAGGAGGAGCACTCGAACGTAACACAACATCTGTCGTTTAAAAAGTAACGTTAAACCGGTTCATTACCCGTCATTTTCTACCACTGCATATCGCTTGAAATCATACGCACCCAAGCTCCTCAAATTACCTGCAATCCTGGTCATCACCATTTTCCGTTTCAACTTTTGGGTCTGCAAAGACATTTCTTCCCACCTTTTTATCTCTGTTGGCCTCCCTTACTATATGAATGCCAAATCTCTCGTTAATGTAGCTCAAATTCAGCGTTCCAGAGACTAACAATACTTTTGTTTTGCTTATCACCTCCGCCTAACGGCGACGGTGTTTGTCAACTTTTTTTACCGAATATCTTACAGTCCGAATCCAGTGCCGAACTCTACACTGTCGGTGATTGCAACATATATACTTCTGATCGGTTTGTTGGCATTGTGTCTAAATCTTGGTATGTCGGGTGAGGTATTTGACTGTTGACCTGTTTGCCGAGCTTGACAGTTGGCTTGCAGACGTTTCGTCACCACGCAAGTGGACGCCGTCAGTGCGCGGTTGGCGCGCACCGATACTGCGGGTCGTGAGACAGCATATTCTCAGTGCAAAACTCATATTGTGGATGCGACTGTGCAGCACTTCCCCGGTCCGTTTTTAACCACCTCCACTGCTAGTTCACCCACTTCATTCGGCTCCTCTATCTACTGAGTTTCACCAATCGCACACACCTTTTCATTTCAATGTGCTTTCTGATCTTACTGTTGAAACCAATTGAGTGCGGATGCGTCAGTTCGTTGTGTTCCGTCTTGGGAGGTGTCTAAATCTTGGTATGTCGGGTGAGGTATTTGACTGTTGACCTGTTTGCCGAGCTTGACAGTTGGCTTGCAGACGTTTCGTCACCACGCAAGTGGACGCCGTCAGTGCGCGGTTGGCGCGCACCGATACTGCGGGTCGTGAGACAGCATATTCTCAGTGCAAAACTCATATTGTGGATGCGACTGTGCAGCACTTCCCCGGTCCGTTTTTAACCACCTCCACTGCTAGTTCACCTACTTCATTCGGCTCCTCTATCTACTGAGTTTCACCAATCGCACACACCTTTTCATGTCAATGTGCTTTCTGATCTTACTGTTGAAACCAATTGAGTGCGAATGCGTCAGTTCACTGTGTTCCGTCTTGGGGGACTTGTGCTTCCACTTATTTTTCACCTTCTTCCGAAAACGTTATTAGCGTTCTGTACGACGGAGCGTTCCGATTCACCCCCATTTTTCAAACGTGGCAAGTCTTCCATCCCCGAATGGCTTGATCACACTAGCTTCTGTTTTGTGGGTGAAACGAAACAAATTCATATATGCGGGCGTAGGCGTCCTTCTTATAGCACACGTTCCGATTGCGTGAACGCTCTTAACTCCCACATTGTTATCACCGACAAGGCCGAAATGTGTTCGTCAACCGTAAGGCTGATTGACTGTCTGGCAAATGTGCTTCAAATTGGTCCTTCTGAAGTCTTGCAAAAACGACCGAACCTAATTTATGTTCTCTTACCCATGATTTTCACGGAAACATCAGATTCTTAACTCCAAAGAAATAACAAAATCGTTCGATTGATTATGGCCGCACTGTTGATCCACCGGATTGAAAACTTTTTTAGAAGCGTCTTTTGTAAGTCCGGCATGATTTTTGTTCCCCGAATCCAGTGTCCTGGTTCCATATTATCTCTAGCCCTGTCCACCTTTTTTTGAACGATTTATCCTTGTTGGCTCTGTTTGCATCTCTGCCTTTGCAAACGATGCTACCTTCTACCTACTCACTTCTTATCACTCCGAGTTGTTTGTATTCCTTCAGATTTGCAACGGTCACGTGTAGATCGTAGACACACTAAACCCCGACCTTTTGAGGAGTCACAGTGAGATCCATGTGACGCAACGCCATTTACGCCTTCCAAATCTCCGCACACTTCTCTCTTGTTCAGCAGCAGTATCTTTTGCGTTGTAACCAAAATGTTTTGGACGCAAGGTGCTACATTCTGACGTTCGCGTTTCAGGATATCATAGACGATCAGATTAACTTGACAGCACAGTTCAGATATCCGTTCCCGAAGTGGTGTATACGAGGTCGCTGCATAATATTGTACACACAAAAAATCATTCAGCTACAGCACACTTTCGGTGCCTAACTGCCACGCCACCGGAAGGAAGCACGAGGGCTGGGATAGTGTCAGGTTGCCCAAGCCTAGACAGGGCAAGTTGAGAGGCAAAGGTCGGGTTCGAACCAGGGGCCTCCACGTCAGTAAATTCGCTTACTCACCACTGAGCCATCTCTCCCTATCTCGCCATCCATTCCTGTTTGTAACAACATGCGCAGTCAAGCCGAGCACTAGTCGTTAGCTGCGACCACGTTTGACGAAGGGTCGCTCATGAATAGTGCAATGGGAGTTGAATGTGAATTTTCATAGCCGGACACTACAAAAGGGAGAAATTTGGGGATTTGGAGAGGGGTGCGTTGTAGGCCGTCTACTCTGTCTCTAAAATGAACCCGTGGAATTGAGCTTGCAAAAATGCATGGGACTGTACTAGATGCATTCGCGGTGTCTGTCCGGAGAATACGCTAAAATGCGTTTTCCGCTTGTCGATTTAGTACTTTCATTTCAAATTAAGTTACTTGACACACCTTTTTATCTTTAGGTGCGTAGGTGGTATCCATCAGTTGGCGCAATATGACTGAGTGTTTCGGTCCAGCAGCTCGTGCTGGAGCATTTCCAGGCAAGCACTGACAGGGTCGAATGGACCCGCTCTAGAAGTCAGATTGTAGCGACAACACCACAGTCTTTACTGATCTTGTCTTTCATGATTGCTTACCTCTTGGAATTCTGCAAGCTATCCAGTCTTCAAAACGACGAGTGTTGGGACAGTTTTGATTGTTCCTTCATTCATGATTTTCTAAACGACGCACTTTGCCT